CCACACTCCACGAGCTCGCTCTCCACACGCTGCTTCTCGCGTCCCTCCCTCCCCATCCCTCCCGCGCTCTGCGCCCGCCGCCGCTAGTCCTCTTTCGACCGAACACTCTCTTTCCCTCTGTGCATGTGTACCCTTCTCCCTCTCTCTCTCTTTCTCTCTGTGGCTCCTTCGCTGTTTCTTTCTGTCCCGCTGTCTTTGCCCCTCTTCCTCCCCCTCTATCGTGGACCGAAGTAGTCTGGCCGGTCGAGCACGGGGAGTCTCGTGAAACCAGTCCTCGTACGGTGGACCTCTCGGTTGGGACCTGGCAAAGAGAGGAGGTCGCTCGCTTCCACCGTGTGTAAACCGGCACCTTTTGCACCTGCCGCGCGATTTCAAGTTTTTCGGTGATTCCGCGCGAACATCTTCCCCCACCGCGGCCACCCCGTAACGGACCGTCCCGGGAAAATTTCCATTGGCTTTCCGTAGATTCGTTTCTCCTTTTCTCTTGTATCGCTCGCGTGTTTCGACACGTCCGTATTGGTACAGCTCCGTCTCTCGGTGAACACGATCCGCCGCGTGTTTATCGCGTAAACCAGTCCTGCCGGTCGGAAGGACGCAGGTCGGCCGGTCGTTTGTTAAAGTGGCACGCTTTTGCGTTGTTGTACCCGATATATCTGACCTGCAGATTCCGGGTGGAGCTTTCAGTTCAACGTTGGGAGAAGGTTCGAGGAAAACGCTTGGGGAAATAGTTGTCGCGAGAGTGGACGAGGAAAAGGGGAGCATCGGTGTTTCGCGCCAAAGAGTACGGAGGACAGAGTTGGTGTATACGGTTGGTGGGGAGGAAACAGCGGTCCAGCGGACGCACACAACTGAACGTAGCCTGTTACGCGACAACCGTGATGCTCGCGTCAAGACGCGCGCCATTTAAACCGTCTCCGTTTAATATTTGGTGGACGTCGAGCGGTGAGCTCGGGCAAGGGATTCACGAGTGAAGATAGGGGACAACTTACCGCCGTCGACGGTCAATCCTTTTTGAATCTTGACACGTGCCGAGGATCACGCGAAAACCTGCTGCCGCCATGACAATCGCTGTCGCGACGACGAAATGAGCTAGTGTTTCGTCGCGGACGCCGCTACGGTTGCAGGATCATCCGTCTGATGAAAGAGAGGTTATGTCGCACTTTCTCACTCTGCCCCCCTTTCTCTGTCTGCGTCTGCACTGAACCTAACCTCCAAGTGTCTCGGTCGCGAGTCCCACTAATCTAATTCGTGCCTGTTACCATCGCGCACTAGATGGAAGCGTCGCTTTTGCGCGCCGTACGATATTTAACGTATTTTTACAGGTACTGTGGATCGCCACGAGATCCGATCCACAGGAGATCTTAAGGGGACGATTTCAACTGTCGCGAGCCGGCGGAAATTCGAAACCGCCATTGTTGAAACGGAAGTCGCCTGAAGTGTTGGTACATTGTTGTTTGTGCGTTCGGTAGAATCCGATATACGCATATCCGGTAACGTAAGCGTGCGACCAATCACGCGGCTGCGGTTGCCATTGATTTCGATAATCGAAAGCCAATCGATTCCCGCGAAAATAATACGGTGAAGTGGTTGATCACGGGACGCGCGAAGCCGCAGAACACGGGTGCTCTTTCTACTCACGGTGTAC